CGAGCGAGCCGAGGCACCTACTGTGGTGACGGCTCCCGGAACAATGAGACTGCTCCTCCTGCCTCCGCGCCGGTGATGCGCCACCCGCCCTGTCCCCAGTTGCCGCCGCCGCCGCCCAGACGAGCTAGGAGAGAGGCCAGCGGACTCTCCGCCCAGTTTGGCGTGACTCACCCTACCCGGGGGAGGGCAGGGACTGGCGCGGGAGGGAGAGAGCCAATCGGCTACAGGATAGAGAAGATAGGCGTCCAGCCAGGCCAATGGAGAGGGAAGGAGATGAAAGTGGGTGGGGATTACGGCACTTCCTCTCTCTTACCGGCGGGGATTGCGTTCAATGGGCGGTGCTGGGACTGGGAGCTCCACCCCCACTTTGAGTAACTGTGAGTTGGGGTGGGGTCTTGGCCTTGCCGGCAGCTGGGGGTCCGTCTGTCGTAGAGCACTGGGAAAGGGGGCGGGCTGCTGGCTGGGAGGGGTCGGCGCGGTTCCTGGCGCGCCACCGGAAGGGCGTTATCCTGGGGGACTGGGAGTGGAAACTTTCCTCCCGGGAAAGGAAGAAACCCGACTGGAGAAAGGTATTAACGGGACTGTGAAGTGGGCCCTAAGGATTTTTAAAGATTTTAGAAATAAAATATTATTTTTTCACTTAATGTGCCAAACCACATCACTACTACTACCACCCTCAAATAAGAAAAAACTTGTTTTTTTGACAGACTCACTCAGTCTAAACCGCAGCCCCTGGAATTGGTAGGCAAAACAGCTGTGCTGAATTAACTGGGGATCTGGGGCCGACCATTTGAAAGTCTGCTCTTCTTCCAAAGCGAGTCTGGGGCCCTGCCTGATGCTGGACTCTTACATGATAGGAGAGTGAGTCACCCAAACAGAGAGGCGGCGGGAGACCGGAAAGTGGAAATACAAAGATGCCTTGGAAAGCTAATTTGGTTCACGTTACATTTCAGTCACCTTAGGTTCATGAGTCAACATTTCGGATGATTCAGGCCTTCTGGGAGTCAGGAAGCCCCATACTCATTGGTTTGATACGCAGGAATAAGCATGATCCCCATTCCACTTTTTCTGAGGCTGGAGAGTTTAAAGAAAGTAATTGCAGAACATGTAAGAATCAGGATCTTTCTGATTTACCTTTCAAAAATATTCACTGCATGCCTACTCTAGAGGCCCTGCAGAGAAAAGGATAACCCGCTTTCAAGTTGCTCAAAGTCTAAATCTGTGCTGTACCTGACAGGTATTGGCTACTTAGTCACTGGCTACTTGTGGCTACTGATTGAACACTCAGAATGTATGTAGCTAGGCTGAAATTAGATGTGCTGTGTCAAATGCGCACTGGATTTCAAGAATTAGTACCCCCCAAATGTAAAATATCTCAGCTTTCATATTGACTTAATGTTGAAATTGATATTTTGGATATATTGGGATAAGTATAATATTAAATTAATTTTACTTGTTCTTTTTAAAGCAGCTTCTAGAGTATTTTAAATACATACTGGCTCACATTATATTTCTTTTGGACAGTGCTAGTCCAGATTAATAATTAAGAAATTTTGATTGCCATGGGGAATCACTGGTTATTTAAGCAAATTCTTAGCTCCAACTAATTTATATTACTGTGGCTTAATTTGGGTATTAAAGAAGAAAAGTAGGAGTTGGAGGGAGGGTTAAATAGGTGGAACACAGAAGATTTTGGGGGCAGTGAAACTGTTCTGTATTATCCTGTATTGGTGGATACATAACATTATGCATTTGACAAAACCCATAGGACTATACAACAGAAAGAGTGAACCCTAATGTAGACTATTGACTTTAGTTAATGATATGTCAATATCAGTTCATCAACTGTAATACATGTACCACTTCAATGCAATATGTTAATAATAGAGGAAACTGGTTAGGGGGCAGCAGTGGGAGTGTATGGAACTCTGCACTTCCTGTTCACTTTTTCTGTAAACCTAAAACTGCTCTAAGAAATAAAGTCTGTGAACCTTTAAAAAAGGAAAAGAATAAAGATTTCCTGGCAATGTTACTTGATTGGGTTAATTATCAACAAGATATTCAAGACCTATCACATCAATTCCACAGAGAACTGGCTTTATTTGTACAAAACGTTTGTGACTTGCTTTGAGCTTGGTTTTATTTTTTGGAGGGGTTGGGAAGAATAGGAAGAGAGATGTATTGATGTAGAATTTTGGGGCGGGAGGTTAAAGCCAAATGAATTTAAACAAAACAAATTTCTACAGTGATGACTACAAGAGACATATTTGAAGTCTTTGTCAAATATTTATCAAAAATTATCAAAAATTTGCCTGATTTTCAACCAATTGCGTACACATACAAAAATATACTAACAATATTTTATGATACGACCTTTTCTGTTGTCACAGTTTAGCTATCAGCAGTTCAATCTTCCCCTTATGCTTTTCCCACTATGAGTGTTCTGATAATCCTTAGTGATAAGTTTCACAGGGCTTTTATATAGGTCTAATATAAATAAGACTTACGTTATTTGTAAGTTGTTTATATGATAGTTCTACATTCATATATCCCTGTACCTACTACTACTAAAATAGTCTCAAGGCAATATCTTTACTCAAAGTTTCACAAAAGAATAATTGTAAATAGTAGATTTACAATTTTAATAGGAAATAACAGTTAATATTGATGCAATAATACAAGCACTATCTGGTGCAGAGTAAAAATAAATTTTATTAATCTCAGTGACTTCTAAAAAAATAAGTATTTGATAGATAGATGAGTAAAGAGTTTGCCCAGCGTTCATAGAATGATCAATAAAGCAAAAAGAAAGGAGGCTGTTGCTGCTCTACCACAATTAAAAGTAAAGCTAGTGATACGTTATTGTAACTAGATGTGAATATCACTCTCACTAACAGAATTCTGGTGAACATTTGAACCAGTTAAAGGAAAAATGCACATTCTAGGTATTAATAATAGTTTTAAAATAATTGTTCAATGATTTATATTTGAAAATAGCTTATCGGCCGGGCATGGTGACTCATGCCTATAATCCCAGCACTTTGGGTGGCTAAGGTGGGTAGATCTCTTGAGGTCAGGAGTTTGAGACCAGCCTGGCCAACATGGTGAAACCCCATCTCTACTAAAAATACCAAATTAGCAGGGCATGGTGGTGCACGCCTGTAACCCCAGCTACTTGGGAGGCTTAGGCAGGAGAATTGCTTGAACCTGGGAGGCAGAGGTTGCAGTGAGCCAAGATCGTGCCGTTGCACTCCAGCCTAGGTGACAAGAGCAAAACTCCATCTCAAAAAAAAAAAAAAAAAAAAAAGAGAAGAAAAGAAAATACCTTTTCAGAAGTAGAAGATTAAAGTTTTCAGATACCACTGGTTAGTAGCTGTTCTCTCTGAGAACACTACAAGAGAGCCAGCCTGGTAGAATCATAGAATCTCAGGGTTGGGAGAACTTTGGGAGGTCAGCTTGACCAATCTCCCTTCCATTATCAGGGTCTCACTTATAAGCAAGAGCTAAATAATGTGTACATATGGACATAGAGTTTGGAACGATAGTGGAGACTCAGAAGACAGGGGAAGGAGAGGGGATGATGAGAAATTCCTTCTTGGTACAATGCACATTATTAGGTGATAGATACACTGAAAGGGTGACCACTATGCAATCAATACATGCAACAAAATTATACTTGTACCCATAAATTTATACAAATAAAAAATTTAAATAGTTAAAAAGAAATTCTTAAGAGTACCAAAATGATGTTTCAGTCTCTTTTAAATAGAAAGATTGAATGTAATTCAGTGGTGCTCTTCAACACAGGCCAGTCATTTTCAGTAGGTGAAAATCTGTGGTTGACTGCTCTTGAAACTGGTATGTCTGTAATCCACCTCTCATCTTTCTTCTCTTGCTGAACCATCCCTTTTGTGCTTTCGCTTTATACTTTTTCATAAGATAAATATTTGTTGGGTATACAGTCTGCACCAGGCCCTGCTCAAGACTTTGAAGAATACAGCACTAAGCCAAACAGACACAAATGTGCTTGCATATTTTCAGTAAGAGACCTATTAGTTGGAGAAATCACCCATTCCATTTCTGTAGTATTATTTGCAGAATGCTAAATTGACACCTAAGCTGGTATTTGTAGAACAAGTTAATTGTACTTGCATTATGTATGCCCCTCAAAAGAGTTAAAAGGCGCAGGATGGGTATACTCTTGCCTACATGTAGCAGGATGTGAACTCCAGATGAGAGGTGGATTGTAGAGAAACCTATTTCAAGAGCAGTCAACCACAGCTTTTTCACCTCTGAAAATGACTTGCCCGTGTTCAGGAGTGCCACTGAATGACATTTGACCTTTCTATGTAAAAAAGACTGAAATATCATTTTGGCACCGTTAAGTGAAAAATTAACAGCATGCTAAGTTGTTGTCCCTGTCATTTTGCTGGGATGTTAGATTTTATGAAATGTACCATTGTGTGAAATGCACCCTTTTGTGAAATACAGTTCATGGTTCTATTCAACATCTTAACCTATATTAAATCCGTTCTGTAATAAGAATAGAAATATAAATATAGGATCAACTTCTTCAGTCATGCTAGTTAAGCATTGACAGTTAGTGTTGGACCTAAAATAAAAATGTTAAGTCCTAAAAAGAAATCACATAATAAGCAAGTGAAAGTCATAATTAAAATTGAACCAAATCTTTCTCCTTTAACTGTTTTCAGTCCTCTGCATTATTAGAAATTAGGCTATTTGAATATGCATTGTTTCCCTGGAGAAATTTATTTTAATCTAGCAAAAAAATTATTTCAGATCCAAGAAAGTTAATTTTGATCTAGCAGTACAAAACCAAGCAGAAGACATCCTATGCTGTCTTAGACAAATAAAAATGTGTCCTCATATGAAGAATGCAGACAAGAGTCTGCAAAATTTAACAACTCATTCTAATATATAACTTATTATTTTTAATACCTAAAGGTTGAAGTGTAAGTTCTGTTATTTCATCTTCAATGTAGATAGATAGAAACCAAGTGGTCACTGTCTTTAAATATCATTCATTGATTCACCTAAAACCTACTGACCATCTAGGCTCTGGTGATAAATAATAGATAAAACACATTTCCTAATGTCAAAGAATGTATAGTCGTTTACATAAGAATGTATACATGTATATACATATATGTATATGATATAGATTTATGTATCTA